ACTACTGAAATATAGAACAACCATCACTCAGAACCATCAGAAATCAAGTTGAATGGAAGTTTGACAACTAAGGAATTGAAGAAACCACATCCATCCAGCCTGGTGAGAGGGAAGCGGAAGCAGAACGGGCTGATCTCTCACCCACGTGTGGCAGATAAAAATTTGGTAGGGAACTCTGGTTGGTGTGGCTTAGTGGATTGAGTACCATGTTGCAAACCAAAAGGTCACTGGTTCGATTCCCAGTCAGGGCACATGCCCAGGTTGTGGGCCAGGTTCCCAGTAGGGGGTGCATGTAAGACAACCAAAAGTTGATGTTTCTCTCCCTCTCTTTATCTTTCCCTTCCCCCCTCTCTAAAAATAAATATGATCTTTTAAACATAAAATAAATTTTAAAAAATTTGGGATGGATATCTCAGGAACAAGGAGTCCCAGGCCCTCAAAACGCCCCCCATCCCAGGGTTCCAGTCCCAGGAAGATAAGTTCCCACAATTTCAGGCTGCAAAAACCAGTGGGGATTGAGGCAGTGGAGGAGCCCCAAGCAGTTCCTCTAAAACAACCTACACATGGATTTACTCAGACTCAATCCCTCTGAGCTCCAGCACTGGGGTAGCAGCTTGAAAGGCACCAGTGGCATACAGGGAAAAACTGAAGTATCTGACATCAAGACAAGGCCATTGTCCTTTTTCTAAATCTTCTCCCCACAGAGCTGGCAAGCTGGTGTCATATCTGAGACTCCATCAACCTGACTAACACTGTTTGACCCGCCTTGGAGATCCCAGAGACTCTGCCCCACCCAATTTATAGGCCCACCCAAGCTGCTTTTCCTTCCAGTCTTGGCTTATGCTTCACAACTTCAACTTCCTAAATTCTATCAAACAAGCAACAGTTGGCCTCGATGATCCTTAGGCCTGGCATTAGCAGCAGCCAGCCTAGATTCATAGCTTGATTTTGCTTGGGACTCTCCAAGCCCAGCACAGGTAGCAGCCATCTCAGATTGCTTTATAGCTCAGGCAGAGTGGCCCCAAGCAAAACATAGGTGGGGGTTGATCTTGACCTGCACCACCTGGGAAACCCCAGGGCCAGCGCACCCAGTGGACAGCTATAGACCACAATAGAGCACCACCTCCCTGCTCCTGCACAGCTGACCTTTCACACAGGATGAAGGTTTGTGGTCACTGGTCACTGCCAATCCTTATAGCTGACTGGCCTGGGTAAATCCCTCCCATTGATTTGCTAACAGCAACCAAGGCTCAACTACAAGAGAAGGGTGTACTCAGCCCACACGAAGGGCACACCTTGAGGACCCAGCTTGGGTGATGGGGAGTGCCACTGGCCTCTACAGGACACCTACTACATTAGGCCACACTACCAAGACATGGAGTCAAAGCAGCTCTACCTAATACATAGAAACAAACCCAGGGACGCTGCCAAAATGAGGAGACAAAGAAATGTGGCCCAAACGAAAGAACAGATCAAAACTCCAGAAAAATAACTAAACAAAATGGAAATAAGAAATCCATCAGATGCAGAGTTCAAAACACTGGTTATAAGGATGCTCAAGGAACTTAGTGAGGACCTCAACAGCATAAAAAAGACCCAGTCAGAAACAAAGGATACACTAATTGAAATAAAGGATAATTTACAGGGAAACAACAGGAGAGTGGATGAAGCTGAGCATCAAATTGATGATTTGGAACAAAAAGGAAGCAAAAAAAAAAGACAACCAATCAGAACAATAAGAAGAAAAAAGAATCACAAAAAAAAATGAGGAAAGTATAAGCAGCCTCTGGGACGACTTCAAGTGTTCCAAAATCCACATCATAGGGGTGCCAGAAGGAGAGGAGAAAAAGCAAGAAATTGGAAATCTATTTGCAAAAATAATGAAAGAAAACTTCCCTAATTTGGTGATGGAAATAGACATACAAGTCCAGGAAGCACAGAGAGTCCCACACAAGATGGATGCAAAGAGGTCCACTCCAAGACACATCATAATTAAAATGCCAAAGGTTCAAGATAAAAAGAGAATTTTAAAAGCAGCAAGAGAAAAGAAGTTAATTACTTACAGAGGAGTTTCCATAAGACTGTCAGCTAATATCTCAAAGGAAACTTTTCAGGCTAGGAGGGATTGGCAAGAAATATTCAAAGTCATGAAATGCAGGGACCTATAGCCAAGATGGCTCTACCCAGCAAAGCTATCATTTAGAACTAAAGGGCAGATAAAGAGCTTCCCAGACAAGAAAAAACTAAAGGAGTTCATCATTGCCAAACCATTATTATATGAAATGTTAAAGGGACTTATTTAAGAAAAAGAAGATCAAAACTATGAACAATAAAATGGCAAAAAAACCCCACATATCTATCAACAACTGATTCTAAAAAACAAACTAAGCAAACAAGAAGAACGAGACAGAATCATGGATGCAGAGAGCATTTTGAGGGTTACCAGATGGGAGGGGAGTGTGGGGGAATGGGTGAAGAGGTGAGGGCATTAAGAAGTACCGATAGGTAGGTACAGAATAGCCATGGGAACGTAAAGTACAGCATAGGAAGTAGAGAAGCCAAAGAACTTACACGCATGACCCGTGGACACGAACAATGGTGGGGGCGTAGTCTGAGGGAGTGGGCAGTGCTAGGTGGAGGAAGGAAAAGGGGGGAAAATCAGGAAAGCTGTAATAGCACAATCAATAAAATATAAATATAGGAAGAAAAGCCCACGCTCAGGGCTCACACTACCATTCCTCGGTGTTTGTGGTGACATTGGTGTACACAAGCCCACTCTGCCACCTGTAGGATGAAAGCAGAACACACACAATTACAGTAGCAGACTGGACCACCCAGGTTTGCGTAAGTGCTCTGCGATGTTTGCACAACAAAATTACCCAGTGACCCGTTTCTCAGACTGTATCCCTGAAATTAAGCTTATGTAGCTTGGAAATTTCCAGAAAGAGTCACAAGAAACTGCAATCAGCAGTTCACTCTGGAAAAGAGAAACTTTTACTTTTTACCTTTGAACTAATTGTACAGGGTATGGCTTTTATACATATTTTAATGGCAGAGATTTCAGTTTCTGTTGTTGACAGTGATTGAAATGATGTACGAGTCAGCGGTGAAGGATCTGCAGGACGAGGTGGGTGATGATATTTTCTAAGTGAAGCAGGGCCCTGCCATGTGGCTATGGAAGATAGGGAAACACCAGCCCCCTGGGATGGCCAGTGATGCAATCTACCTTAAGTAGGCAGGTTGAAGATGGTGGGGCAGCCTGGAATGGCAGAGGACATGTCCCCGAGAGGAAAGGGGACCTGCTAGTGTCAGCTGACTGGTTTGCTCATGCCAGGGGATGCCTGTGCCCATCTGGGCCTGCAAGATGATGCGTGGTGTGTAGTAAAAGCAGTAGTTCCGTTCTAAGCACTTTACTCATATCAATTCATTAAACCCGCAAAGCAATGCAACAGAGTGTTATTTCCCCAGTTTACAGACAATGAAACAGAGGAAGAAGGGAAGGAAGGGAGGGAGGGAGGGAAGGAGGGAGGAAGGAAGGAAGGAACCCAAGGGTGGGTATATCTCTAAAGCGACACCGTGGGAAGAAAAGTACATATATTCAAGTTGGATTTTTTTGTGGATTGCAACAAAGGCAATAGAACTCATGGGTCCGTCAGAGAACTGGATGAAAGCTACAGACCAATTATGCAAGGAATCAATGGGATTCTTGGGTTCCTGGGAGCCCACAAGTGGACTCAAGGTTCAGAACCCCTGTTCTGTGGGTTTTTCAGATCTAAGACCCTAGGATTCTATATTAAGTTATGATATCCAGCCCTGGCTGGTGTGGCTCAGTAGACAGAGTGCCGGCCTGCAAACCAAAGGGTTCCCAGTTGGGGCACATGCCTGGGTTGGAGGCCAAGTCCCTAGTAGGGGGCACATGAGAGGCAACCACACTGATGTTTCTCTCCTCTCTTTCTCCCTCCCTTCCCCTCTCTCTAAAAATAAATAAATAAAATATATTTTTTAAAGTTATGATATCCCTTGTCCCCTTGAAGCCTACAAATGTAACCCCCCACCAAAAAAAAAAAAAGTACAAACTTCTCCAACCTGTAGTCTCCATTTCATGGGTAAAAAGTGTCTGTGGCCTGGCTGGCATAGCTCAGTGGACTAAGCACGGGCTGCGAACCAAAGTGTAGCAGGTTCGATGTCCAGTCAGGGCACATGCCTGGGTTGCAGGCCATGACCCCCAGCAACCGCACATTGATGTTTCTCTCTCTCTCTCTCTATCTCCCTCCCTTCCCTCTCTAAAAATAAATAAAAATAAAATATTTTAAAAAATTTTTTTAAAGTGTCTGGAATAAAATACTGTGAAGTCCAAAGTAAGTTCTTTTGTTGTCTGGCATGTGCAAATATTATAAGCTGTATAATGAGGGGGACCATCTATTTACTGTCCAAATGTGGAGAGTTTTGTGCATGAAAGGAGCACCACAACCTGCGAGTGTCTAAGCCAGCCAGGACAGATTACTTGGGGCAGAACAAATTTGTATCAAGCCCTGCCTGTTTTATGGACAATGAGGACTGGCTGCTTCTCCAGGAGACCTAGGCAGAGAGGTCACCTGCTCACGTGCCCCACCTGTAGCTTTGGCTGATTCCCATCCCTGCACTTGGGAACCTGCCGTTCCTGTGCATACACACGGTGTGGTTTGTGCCTGGCCTGGAGCAGCCGGAGGCCAGAGAGCTGCCCGTCCTGACCTAGAGGTCAAGACCAAGAGCAGAGCCTTCGCCCTCCCTGGTGTGCCCTCCTGGACTCCCCTGGACTTGCAGCAGGCCTGCCTCCCTGGCTCTCTGACCCGGCTGCTCACCGGATCAAAGCACGGTGGCTCCAGGGACCTGGCCATGGTGAAGGCCACAAGTCACGGACACCTCCAACTAAACCGAATGTCATCCTGGAAGCTGGGGGTGGGTTAAAATTTAACCATCAGGGCTCATGGTTTGCATGAGTTTTTACAAAACCAGCTGGGTCCAATCGACTCCACTGCAGTCCCGATCAACGTGAGCATAGTAGGAGGAATCACCCTCTCTCTCCTGGGCTCCGCGGGGACAGACCCGAGATGCTGAGGACCCTGATGCTGGGCAGGAGCTACCTGAAGTCCTCAGGTTTCCCCGCTGTGGTCAGGCAGGTGTGGGGGACTCTGCAACACCCTCTGCGAAGGCCCAAGCGACCATGCTCCCAGGTCTCCTGTGCACAGAAAACCAGGAGGGATGCTCGTAAGTAGAATTTCTTACAATTCTCGATTTCCCCAAATGTAATCTGATGTCTAATGTTATGGTATGTTTCAAAATGGAAGACAGTCTGGAGCCAGAATGCTTGAGTTCAGATGTCTGCTCTCTTTCCCTGTGACCTTGGGCAGATCCTTTAACCTCACACTCATGGGGTGGTTGGTAGGGCGAGGAGCTAGGAATAAGACAAGTACCCAGTGCCTTTCCCCCAAGCTGTTACTATGAAACATCCAGCCCAGAAGGACCAAATGAGCCCGTTGTTAGAGCTCCAAAACCCCTCCAGCAGAGGACATGCTCACCAAACATGCAGTGAGTAAACCACCACCCAGCTCTGTCCAGAGACTGCCTGCATCAGCCTCATTCCGGCATCGGCACAGTTAATGCTCTGGGAACTTGGACTCGTCCTTTCCTCTTCTCGGGTCTTGGATTCTTCCTCTGTCAAACAAAGGGCCTGAGTGGAAGGCTGATAAGTTGGCTCCTGGTGTAAACAGCATATTTTGCCATGTGCATTGCACAGTTTTATGCCCAAATTTTTGAGAGGAAAATAAGGGTGTGCGTGATACATGGGTAGTACCTGAGATACCTTGTATCTGTTCTTGTGTTTTGTAATTATTTGTTACACAACATTTCTTATACTAAAACATGTTCAAAAATAAATGCTAAAATTCCTTTATAATACAAAAACCAAGTATCTAAATATAAATAAATGAATAATTGAATTAAAAAATGAAAATGAGATTTTTTTTCCTGAAAGTGTGGACCAAAAACATGGGTGCACAATATACATGGCAGGGCGTTATACACAGCAACATGCAGTGCTCCACACCCTCCAGGACGAAGTGGGGCTCAACTTGTAAATCTTAGTCCTCAACCTGTAAAGCCATGGGTTCCAGAACCAGTCGCTCCTGGGGTTGGGCATTAGTTACACCTGTCTGCAATGAGATCTGGCCATTGCCTCACCTCCTCGAACCTCGGTTTCCCCATCTATAAAAGGGGAGGACTGTCGCACGGGGCCACATGAAAATGAGATGATGTGTGTGGAAAGCCTTGGCACACCCCAGGCTCTCAGTGAGCGTTATTAGCTCTGTCCAATTAATCTGTTGGTCCACACCTGTGGACAATGCTGAACTCTCTGTCTCAAAACCACAGGGCGGTTTCCAGAAGCAGGTCAGGCTCCCCTGGGATTCCTGTTAGGCCAGAACTCGGGCCTGTGAACGTGAGGGCGAGCAGCCTGGGGTAAGCCCAGCCCAAATCTTTTAGAGACCTGCGGTATTCAGGAGCTATAGTAGGTCTCCGAGAGCAGGAAGCCCAGTGACACGGCACAGAGATGGAATCCACAGTCACCAGAACTCGCACCAAACCCCCCACCCAGAAAGGGCAGGAATGGAAGCCTTGTCCCAGCCCTAACCCTGTCCTTTCAGTTGCCCCACACTCAGTGTGGGGTCCTCAGACTAGCACCCACAGCACTACCTGGGGGCTTGCTAGAATTGAGGAACCTCGGGCCCCATCCCAGACCTACCTGTAAACTGCAGACCAAACAAAAGCTATGCATTCACATAGAAAGACCCCCTGACCTGTCCCCCTCTGATCCCAGTTCCCAGAGGCAACTGCTATGAGTGGTTTTTGGTGCAGCCTTCTGACACTTGCCCCATGCACAAAGCAACCTGTCCACACACACACACACCTTCAAAAAAATAAAACAGCGCTGCACTGCACATGCTTATCCGCCCCTCAGTTTTCTTTCTTTACCTACTGTAGACATCTCCACAATGGTCTCTCCGCAGCTGTCCCCCTTAGTGCTTCGTACAACCACGGGGAGCAGCAGGCCACTGGGACGGAATCTTGGCCCACTGCTTCGTGGCTGTGCACCCCTAGGCAAGTGTCTTAACCTCACAGAGCCTCAGTTTCCTCACCTGCAAAAGGTGGGTGATGAGACATCACACACAGCACCACCGGAAGCATGAAATGAAGTGAGGTGTGGAAAGGCTTGGACCAGCAGCTGGCACCTTGTGAGAAGTCTCGGCCACCATGTAAGAACAGTAAGTGGGGTTCGACTTGTAAATCTTAGAAAGCGCACTCTCCCACACCTTTGCGCACTTGTGCGGGACGGAGTAACACAGCAACTGTATGGAGAGCGCCTGGACTGGTCTGTGCGGCACTGCTCCACGCGGGCCCGGGGGGCCCCGGGCGCTGCTGTTTCAGCGCCCCCAGCAAATGGGGTCCATTCTGCTGAACAGGGAAGACTGGAGCTTGTTCCTCCTCAGTGTTTTGTTTATTGGGATTTAGCAAAACATTTCATTTTGAGAAATAAAAGAAGCTTTATTACTAACAATGATTGAGAATCGCCGGTGGTTTGGCCCAGAGAGAAAAGTCAGAGTTATAAAATGCTCAGAAATAATTCCAGGCACCATTCCAGCTGTGTCCTCCGGCCACGTTTCCGCGTGTGCGGAAGCTGCCTTTTACCGGCAGTGGGCATCTCGTCCGCCGTCTGGGACCGTGACTCACGGTGGTAGCTTGAGATGGGCCACAGTGGGAGTTTTCATGGCGGTAATCGGCAAACATTCCACATCAGAGCTTCTTAATCCTCTGCTGAGCTGGTCATTAAACTTTCAGCAGCACACCGCTGCGTGCTCTCAAACATTTAAACAGGCATTTCTTGCTCGTTTATCTGCCGGGATTCTTGGGTTCGGCTCCCCCGCCCCCACCCCGGCTGCGCTGGGCTCCAGCTGGCAGGGGGCGTCCAGACCCGTTCAGCGTGTCTCTCATCCCTCGCTGCACTGGTCCCAGAGGAGGAGCGCTATGCATACTTACTGAAGGGTGGAAAAAGTGTAGAACACTTTACCTTTATCGCTTCCTATCAGAGAGCAGCTTCAGTTACAAGACTTACTTTGCTGACACCAGCTTTCACCTGGAGATACACAGCCAACTTGAGCAAACATTGGAAACCAATTTAAGGTTTCTGTGTTTTTTAATATATTTTATTGATTATGTTATTACAGTTGTCCCATTCCCCCCCCTTTTATTCCCCTCCACCCTGCACAATCCCTCCCACCCACATTCCCCCCTTTTAGTTCATGTCCATGAATTGTACATTAAGTTCTTTGGCTTCTACATTTCCTATACTATTCTTACCCTCCCCCTGTCTATTTTCTACCTACCATCTATGCTACTTATTCTCTGTACTTTTCCCCCTCTCTCCTCCTCCCACTCCCCTGTTGATAACCCTTTGTGTGATCTCCATTTCTGTGGTTCTGTTCCTGTTTTAGTTGTTTGCTTAGTTTGCTTTTGTTTTTGTTTTAGGTGTGGTTGTTAATAATTGTGAGTTTGATGTCATGTTACTGTACCTATTTTTATCTTCTTTTTCTTAGATAAATCCCTTTAACATTTCATATAATAAGGGCTTGGTGATGATGAACTCCTTTAATTTGGCCTTATCTGAGAAGCACTTTATCTGCCCTTCCATTCTAAATGATAGCTTTGCTGGATAGAGCAGTCTTGGGTGTAGGTCCTTGCCTTTCATGATTTGGAATACTTCTTTCCAGCCCCTTCTTGCCTGTAAGATCTCTTTTGAGAAATCAGCCAACAGTCTGATGGGAACTCCTTTGTAGATAACTGTCTCCTTTTCTCTTGCTGCTTCTAGGATTCTTTCCTTCATTTTAGTCTTGGCTAATGTAATTATGATATGCCTTGGTGTGTTCCTCCTTGGGTCCAACTTCTTTGGGACTCTCTGAGCTTCATGGGCTTCCTGGAAGTCTATTTCCTTTGCTAGATTGGGGAAGTTCTCCTTTATTATGTTTTCAAATAAGTTTTCAATTTCTTGCTCTTATTCTTCTCTTCTGGTACCCCTATAATTTGGATGTTGGAATGTTTAAAGATGTCCTGGAGGTTCCCAAGCCTATCCTCATTTTTTTGAATTCTTGATTCTTCATTCTTTTCTGGTTGAATGTTTCTTTCTTCCTTCTGGTCCAAATCGTTGATTTGAGTCCTGGTTTCCTTCCCATCACTGTTGGTTCCCTGTGTATTGTCCTTTATTTCACTTAGCATTGCCTTCATTTTTTCATGTAATTTCCTCTAATTCAACCAATTCTGTGAGCATCCTGATTACCAGTGTTTTTAAACTGTGCATCTGATAGGTTGGCTATCTCTTTTGTCACTTAGTTGTATTTTTTCTGGAGCTTTGATCTGTTCTTTCATTTGGGCCATTCTCTTCTGTCTCAGTGCTCCTGTTACATCGTGAGGGGCGGAGAATCCATGTTGCTGTATTGTGACGCTCTTTGTAGGGAAAGGGTCCAAGAGGCAACAGTGGCACTTGCTCTGCTCTCTGCCGGATTTCAGTCACTTCCCCCGCTTCCCCCAAGCAAACTGGGCCCTTCTGGTGCTGATTCCCGAGTGGGTGGTTTATGTACATTCTAGGACTCTGTGGGTCTCTCCAACGAACTCTCCTGTGAGGCTGGGAGTTTCTGTCGCTGCTGCCTCAACCCCCACAGGTGTTTTCAGTCAGTGGTTTGAGGCTTTATTTCCACACGCTGGGACCTGGGGTTACGTGGTCTGTCTCGCTCCCCAGTGTTCCTCCCGGTTTATCTGTGAGTGAATGTTAGACTGCCGGCTCCACCAGCTGCCACCTCACCGGGTCCGCCCGCTGCTGCCTTGCCAGCCAGCCAACACCCTGACCGCCCCGGTCCTCAGCCCCCACTTTGCTGGGAGTTCTCTCTGCCTGGCTGCCCGGCTCTGCCCATCCTACCGGTCTGGATGGGTGTTTCCTCTTTAACTTCTTGGTTGTCAGACTTCCATACAGTTAGATTTTCTGTCTGTTCTGGTTGTTTTTTGTTTTTAAATTTATTGTTGTCCTTTTGGTTGTGCAAGGAGACACAGTGTGTCTACCTATGCCTCCATCTTGGCCAGAAGTCCAAGACAAAGTCAGAAGCCTATTTAAGGTTTAAGTGATGTCATCTCTGTGCAGGCCCCAATGGGCAGCACCCTCTTCTTTGGTGGCAAGGACAGTGTTCCACGCAGATGTTTGGGGTCAGCAGCCCCTTCACCCTTTGTGAAGTTTCGCAGATGCGACCTAAAGACCCCACTCTTCCCACCTTGCATCTCCGTGTCAGGGGCCAGCTGAGCCCCCGGTCAGAGGAGGGCTGCCTCTGTGGCGCTTAGCAGCCCCTGCGTTCCGTGTATGTTGAGGGTCGTGCAGCCATGTGAACTCCCTGTTTTCCTTCAGGGAGGATCTCTGCAGGGGTGTCCAACCTTTTGGCGTCTCTGGACCACACTGGAAGGGGCAGAGTTGTCTTGGACCACACATTAAATACATCACGACACTTAATCATGAAAAAAGTCTCATAATGTTTTAAGTAAATTTACGCTTTTGTGTTGGGCCACATTCACAGCCATCCTGGGCCGCATGCAGCCTGAGGGCTGCAGGGTGGGCGCCTGGTAGGAAGACGGCTGTGAGGGCTGTGCTGCTGTGTGAGCACTGCCCCGTCTGGCTCAGGCCCCATCTGCGATCTGCGCACAGGGGGCCTGGGGACAGAACAGACAGCGGAAGACCAGGGGCTGCCAGTAGAGATCTGGACTGAAGCAAAAGGAGGCCTGCTCTACAAGGACACATGACAAAGGCCCAGGCCGATTACCCAGCTCTGCCTCGGTCTGTCTCGAGAAGGAGAAGCGGAGGTGCCCACAGGCGCTTCAGGCTGCTGCTCCCCTGGGCACAGCAGTGGCTGCTCTAGCACGCTGGGCGGGCGTCTCTGCTGGGCTGGGAGGCCAGAACGGGAGCCCTGTCCTCCGATCTTGCCAACCTACTGTTATGCTACATGACCGCCCTTCTCTCCGCCCACAGTGCACCCTCTGTGGAAGAGTGCAGGCTCCGTGCCCGGGGGCTCCCGGCAGTCCCCCATCAACATCCGCTGGAGGGACAGCGTCTACGACCCGGGGCTGCAGCCTCTGCGGGTCTCCTACGACGCTGCAGCCTGCCTCCACATCTGGAACACCGGCTACCTCTTCCAGGTGGAATTCGATGATGCCACCGAGGGGTCAGGTGAGCCCGAATTGGGATTTGAGTCCTTTCTTTCCTTCGGTAACATCCTAAGAGTGGGGTCATGGGCTTAGCACAGAAGGGGATGAGAGCTTTATTTAAGCACGATGCCGGAGGACAAGGAACAGCACTGGGGAGGCAGGAACGGAAAGATCTGAGAAGGCTGTCTGCAGGAGGGACAGAGGAGTGACGCTTACTTTAAAGATCATGATACCAATCTCTACATTCTGGTTTCACTGGGGACAAAACTAGGAGGAACAAAATTGACTCCCTTCCTTCGTGGTTCACATTCCAGGGACTGGGAAGGAAGAAACACCACGCTAATAAACACAACTGTATTGCACGTCAGAGGAGAACAGCAGAGCAGAGCAGAGGAGGGGGCAGGCGGCAGTGCGGCTGCACAGAGACAAGGGAGGAAGCTGTGCTGCCACTGGAGCGGGTGTCCATGCTGGTCCCAGCCCCCACGGGTTCTTACAGGGTGGGACGGGCCACCAGCAGACACTGACCTGGCTGATGTTTTAAGTTTTTGTTTTTATATACTTATTTATGTTTAGAGAGTGGGGAAGGGAGGCAGAGAGAGAAGGAGAGAAACATCCAGGTGAGAGAGAAACATCTTTGATCAGTTGCCTCTCGTATGCACCTGAACCGGGGACAGACACCCGCAACCCAGGCATGTACCATAACTGGGAATCAAACTGGTGACCCTTCGCTTCGTGGGCTGATGCTCAACTGAGCCACAGCAGTCAGGGCAACCTGGCTGATGTTTTAAGTGAACACCCAGCTGCTATGAGGAAGAGGAGGGATGGAGGACAGGGATGGAACAGGGACCACCTGGGAGCTGTCTGGGACGAGGGTGGTGGAGGGCTGTGTGACAGGTGGGCAGGGAGGCGGGAGAGAGACCCCAGAAGCCCCTGTCCCTTTACCGGGTCCCAGCGCCCTGAATGGGCTTTATACGGACCAGCTCATTAAATCTTCTCCAGGATGCTGAGGAGTTTGGGTTGGCTTGGCCTCTGATACTTGGCAGGATTGGCTGCTCCATCCCAGCGGGTGTTCTTCAGCCCCCTTCTGTGTCATCGTGAGCCTTGTTTATGTGGAACATCTGTTTTGTTTTGGGCACGGAGAATGTTCGTACATGCCAGGCAGAGGGTGCCCACGTGACCGGTCCCCAGGGAAAACCCTGGGCACCCAGTCTCTCATAGGCGTCCCTGGTGGACAACACTTCACGCATGTGTCACAACTCGTTGCTGGGGGGTCAGCGTGTCTCTGTGACCCCGTCAGAGAGAGCACTGGAAGCTGGTGCCTGGCCTCCTCCATGCATCACCGCATGCGCCTTTTCCCTTTGCAGATTTGGCTTCGACCCTCTCGCTGTAATAAATCTGACCTGTGCGTCTGTCTATGTGCTGAGTCCTGGGAGTCCTAGAAAATCATGGATCCTGGGGGCCCTGATACATCCACCAGCCCCCATCCTTTCTGAGCCGGCCCCTGGCCTACCTCCTTTGACATGCTGGTTCTAGTATATCGTTCACTTACCTGTTGCCCAGGCAGGGGAAAGAGCTCCTGAGGGCAGCCTGACGTGTGTGTGCTAGTCTTCTTGGAGCCCTGGTGGAGGGACTGGGAGCTGAGCGAGGCCCAGCCTCCCTTGTCTCACTTCCGATGGACTGGCTGGCTGCCGCAGGGGACAGAGAGTTCTTCCCCCACCCCCCAACCCCCACCCCCGCCCCGCGTGCACACCCAGTAAAGTGCTTCCCACACAGCCTGGCTTGGCCTCTCCAGGTCTCTCTCCTCATCTCACAGGTGAGAGGGAGTCGTGTTTCCTGAGCAGCCACCTGCATGCCTGGGGCTCACGGTCACTGGTCAGCCTTCACAGTGGCCCTCAGGCACGCTTCTCGGGTGGGACTCCTTGAGCACAAGGGACAAGAGCCCCGACTCTGGCCAACATAAACTAAGAAGATTTTCTTGAAAGGCCAAGCTGAGCTCAAAGAGGAGAAGGGACAGCTGGACACCCAGGTCTTAGAAAGCATGGGAGCTGGGCCAGCTCAGGGCTCCGGGGAGCAGGGGTGATCGATTTATTTACTTAGCACACCAACTTTGTTTTCTGCCCACACTGGCCTGGCCCAAGTTCAATTCCCAAGGAGCAACTGAAATTGGCTTCACAGGTTTAATATGGTTTGTATTATTTTTAAAGATTTTATGCAGCAACTTTAGAAGATTAAATAAAGAGTAATGGTCCCTGAACTTTTGCTTGATTAATAGTTGTATGACTAGTCTAACAAGATTGAGAAAAACAGACATGGAAGTAGATGAGTTCACGTCCTCCTATATAATTTGTATGTGTAGCCATGGGTCTAACTGATACCTCTGTAACAGGTTTATATTTTTTAAGTTTTAAAATATAAAAAGTTTATTTATTTTTTATTTATTTATTTTTAGAGAGAGGAGAATGGAGGAAGAAAGAGAGGGAGAGAAACATCAATGTGTGGTTGCCTCTTGAGTGCCCCACACTGGGGACCTGGCCTGCAACCCAGGCATGAGCCCCGACTGGGAATTGATCCAGAGACCCTTTGGTTCTCAGGCCATCACTCAGTCCACTGAGCCACACCAGCCAGGGCATAAAATATAAAAAAATTTGAAGGTTACTTTTAACTTTTGTATGAGTATCATTAAGATGCAGTTGACAAAATAATTCAGATTCCCAGGCAAAAAGGTCTGGTGGCTGAGCTTGGCATTCACACAGCCTTTGGTCAGTGGGGGGCCCAGCACCCTGACCCATGTCCCCACCGAGACCACATGCCCAGGGAAGTGGGGTCCTGGGGGAAACTGAGGTGCTATTTCTAGAGGAAGGAAGTTGTGCTGGCCAGACAAACACACACCCTCTTTAAAGACCACCACCGTTGATGGATAACAACACACAGGAAACAGACACCACTCTGGAGAGCACTGGGGGACCCCCGTTCCACGCAAGGAGAAATGGAGGCTCAGCGGGGAGGTGACTCGCTCAGGATTGAATGGCAGAGAAGTGGAGGGGTCAGGTTCAAGGCCAAGTCCTGCTGACTCTAAAGCCCCCAAAGCCCTCCACTGGCCCCTTCTCCTTGTCAAGGGCTTCACTCACACAAACTTAAGTTTCCTTTGTAACAACCGTGTGAGATGCATATTATTTCCCACTTTCCAGAGGATGAAAACAAGGCTCAGAGAGATGCATGGCTGGAGGCCTCAGAGCCCTCCTGATGAGATTCTCTGCTCTCCAAAGGAAGTGTGAGGAGCGTGAGTCCTCTGTGGAAGGGGTCTGCACCCATAACCACAGGGTTCAGGCGGGAGCTGGTGTGAGGGAGGACAGGGCTAGCGCACAGGTGAATGCGGTCATGCTCACGTTAGGTCCTGGGGAGAACCAGCAGCCCGCTCAGGGTCCAGGTGGGCTCCCGGCTCAAGCCCAGCCAAGCCATGTCCCATGTGGTCACTCAAAAGGAGGGTCGGTGGGCAGTGAGGCCAGCCTGGGTGCCAGGTGAGAACCTACCAGGAGGACATCACCCATACCCAGACCCTCCTGACAGGTGGAGCAGGGGCATCTCCGTGATGCTCCAAGGGCCCAGTTGTTTATATATTTTATATTATATTATATTATATTATATTATATTATATTATATTATATTTATATTTATATTATATTAATTTATTTGGGTGTCTCATAGCATGTGTGCCTTGGAATCTAGTTCCTATGTCCCAAGGGAGTTCAGAGTCAGAATTGAACCTGGGAAACTAGACTATTATAGGTGACAATCCCCAGAATCACAAGTCAAAACCTCCTTTGGGTCAAGAATTTCAACCTCTTAAATTTTCACCCCAAGCTTGAATCATAGGAGTGGGCACGGCCAGTCCCAACAGCCCTTTCTCTGGCTTCAGCGATTGGTCCAGGGGTGGGCGCGTGACCCAAGCCCGGCAATGACAGCCAAGAGCTTTTCTTGGAAATGTTTGAAGAAAACCTCTTTTCTGCCTGCTGTGTGCTGGGGCCAGCCTTGTGTGAGTGAGTCCGAGGCCTGGGGGTCCTGCTGGCAGAACAAAGAGGTGGGTACAAATTGAGTCCCGAGGCCATTGTCAGAGCCTCTGACTGCAGTTGTGCCTGAAGGCGAACTAGCTCCTGGACTAACCAACCTCTTTTTTGCCTCAGTCAGTTTGATTTAAATTTCAGTCCCTTGTTTTCAAGAGTTCTAATACAAGTACACATTAAAAAGTCTACTTTCAGACTACATTAAGAGAGGGGAAATAGAAGGGAGGCCACTGAAGAATGGCCAGTTTCAATCTTTGCTCAAATGTAGTTCAGATGGAAAAAAAAAAGTATTTCAGCTATAGGCTGGGTCCATGCCATCCAGGGTGGAGCGGAATGCTGGTAACACTATGTTGGACTTGACCCAGAGAGATCGGTGGTCTGAGTGTGGTGCTTTAACAGCTGTCTGAGAGGCCCGGCCCACATAAGCTTGGTCCTTCTGAGTACATGGAGACCTGATAAAGGTTTAGCAACTGGCTTTCTGGGGTGTAGGGTGTGGGTGGAGGTGAGGGGGACAAGAAGCCATGATTTGTAGTGTTTGCTGCTTCCCGTGGTGTAAATACTCCCGCACAGCCAGATGATCCCAACCCCCCAATGCAAAGTCACTGATCATGAGTTAGGAAGAGATGCACATGGCGAGTTCGCAGGAGCCAGTAAGAGCCTGCCTCACACGTCGCTGTCCTGTTCTTTCTTCCCTCTCCTCCCTGCTGCCTCAGATCTTATTTTTGCTCTCGTTTTTGCAAGACATTCACTGTAATTGGTTAAGACTTCCTTTGTGTTGCATGTGGCAGCAACTCAACTCAAACTGGCTTGAGCAAAGAAGAGGAAAACTTCCTGGCTTAGATTCCCAAAACGTTCAGGGTGTGACTGGGTCTGAATCCCCCGCCCCCACCCCCAGCTCTGCCTTCCCCTGGTGGGTTCTTTCCAGATGAGGATCCCGGAGTGGGGCAAGGATGGTGGCTCG